GCAAACATCCATCAGCAATAATCATCATACAATCATCTGTTGTTGTGCAGCATGTTTTCTGCTGCATCGTCTCCGGTTCAATGCCTACCCACCGCTGGCGCCTGTTTGTCCTGTGGATGCTTATCATATTCCCCTGTGATTATGCCCTCTCCAAGGCCCGTCCGAAGAAACCACCCAAGAAGAAGTATTTCCTCACAGCCTGCGCCATGATCAAGAACGAACTGAACGTCGTCCTGGAATGGATTGAATTCCACCGTCTGCAGGGTGTGGAGCATTTCGTCTTCCTGGACGATGAGAGCACGGACGATATCTACCTGCTCCCGCGGCTGTACGCCGCCATCGGCCATCCCGACATGATCGAAATCCTACCGCAGAATTATCGTCGTCGTCAGAAACCCAATAATTTCACGTATCTCGAATACATGGACGGCCAGATGGAGGGGCTGAATCAGTGTAATAAACGCTTTAAGGGCGTCTCCGAATGGCTGCTGATCAGCGATGTGGATGAGTTTATGTTCTCCCCCAAGTATCCCACCCTGGTGGAGTATATCCGCAGTGAAGCGAGCGAAGCCATTAGTATTATCTACGCGGAGGCGCTGCGTTTCGGGGCGGGTGGCGTTGTCGATGAGAATCGCGTGCGTTTCACACTGGATCCGTACTCCCAGCACGTTCTCGTTATCAACGACGTCTTCAACGGGGAGATGCTGCTGACGTCACGCAACCGCTACCGCGCCCCTTTAAATGGTCTGGAAGACGACTGGGAAGAGAAGTACAACGCGACATGTCTGAAGTTGAAATACCCGGATGATTGTCACCATAACAACGGCAAATCCATCTGGCGACCAGAACGCTGCGGATTGGCCGGTGTACACTACTGTATGGAGGATCATCTGAACGGTGACTGGCTGGAACCTAGCATCCATGAATTACGCTTGAACCACTACGCGTTCCGCTCGAAAGAACACATGGAGGAATTGGGAAAAATCGAGATGGGACGGTTGAAGCATTTTGTCTTTAATAAACTGGATAAGGTGTGGTTCTCCACGGTGGAGGATAATTCCACGGGGATTTTTCGGGAGGCGCTGCTGCAGCGTTTGGAGGTGTTCCCCATGTTGACGCTGTACCATGCGCGTGCCCAGAGCGTGTCGCTGGCCAACTGGATTACGTTTTATTTCCCCAGTGCGACGGGGAGGTCGCTGTTCTACGTGGTGTTTTCGCTGTACGGGATGATCGCGGTCGGGTTATGTGTGTTGCTCAGTGGGATGGTGGCCAGGTTGCTGCTCAATCGACGACGAAAGAGTGTGATATGAACGCGCGGCGTATGACATTTTTTTTGTGGATTTTTTTTTCTGTGGTTTTGTAAGAAATGATGTTTATTTTTTCTGCATGAATCTTGCCATAGAAAGTTCCGGAATAGACGGAATATACTTCCGGAAGTGAACGTTATCTGTCTTTGTATAATCTCTGCACAGATCTATAGTATGGTTTACCAAAAATTCATTTTGTTTGGATAGAAGATTTTCGCTTTTGGGAGAGTGAAAGACCGAAAATTAAGAATAAACGACTATTTTTGGCATCTTACAGGCGCACAATAAAATGTTGTTATTATTTTGTTTCGGGTGTCGGCAGAATACCAAAATGCGCAACATATAGTAGGGCACTAAGTAACCCAGTTAATCAAAGCAATAACACGTCATTTTATCTGGATAACTGAACTTGAACAAATATTTACTTCACACGGTCTAAATCCAGAAATCCGTGCTTAGCGAAACATGTTTATTACTCCGCAAGCTGTGTGAGTGTGTGGTGCAACCTACACACTGCAGTAAATACACTTCATAATATCATCGATAATTATTTTTTTATTAGCATTTTATAATAATTACCTATATGCGTATTCAGCCGCATGCATGGTTGATTCAACAACAATTTGTTGGATTCTGTGTTCCTTCTATAATAATATGTACATCGCATTATTAATTTAGTAAGTACAATTGTACGTAATGTTAGTCAATATTCGCTATTAACGAACGAATCATTCTAGCCTAAATTTAAATTAATTTTAATCCAAAACAAGACAGATGTAGATATATTATAAGCACACTGTACAGTACGTATATTCTAAGGATTTCCCGTTGTTGTTTTCCCATACGTAAATCCGTAATCAAGCAGGTAAAATGGTTATGTGGCTTGCAACATACCAGATCTCAAAAGTGCAGCAGTAATGTTTTCTTATCGTAAGAAAACATTACAGCTGTGTGTCCTTCTATAGAAGGTGAATTTATGTCAAAAGACTGTAGGATAGCTACGCGGTAGCTTTAAAGCTTGGGACACTGCCACATGCGGCCAGGAACTAGGAAGACTATGTACATGTACAATGTGCAGAATGCTTCTGCACACGTGCTATATTCTTGCAAAAAACATCACTTTAACGTGTATACAACCGTATATACAACCGTGTATGCATTAAGAGATCAAGGATCAGATATAACTGAGCAGTTAATAAAAAACCCGAATTTTTTACTCTCCCCTTTTCCGTAGATTATTATAATTACTCAGTACTAGCAATAGGTTTGCAGCCCCCTTGGAATGTTCTCGGCTATAATAGTACACAATAAATCTTTTATATTAGATTGTTTAACATTTATAGAATACTACATTAGTGCTTATATATTATGTCATTACGTTGTATACTCGTATAAACTCGTACGATCGTATCTTGTGATTGCGTTAATATAACTGTCATACTTTGTACAATAAATTTAAAGGTTATTCTTATTCTTGGATCATATATTATGCATACAACGCGTGTCTATATTCGTATTATCGTACATGCTATGCATTTACTTCCAAGTTCCCACATCTGTCAGCTTCTAATTTCAAAATTCGATGCATCTTTTTATTATCTATTAAAGGTCAAGTACATTTATTCCCGCAACTTAAAACTGTAACTTATTATAAACGTCATAAACGTCGGCAGAAATGGCATAATCATCTTCAAAAAACATACATTTCATCCAAGAATTTGCCCATTGCATGGCGCCCTTCTCAGGATGGATGCATGCTGCGTTGCCGTTTTCGATTTGTTGAGCTGGCGGAAAAATTCCAAATTTTCTGATGTGACTTTATTTATATAATTATATGCAAATAATTTAAGTCTTCTTTGTCACCCTACGAGTAGAGTAAACGGCAGTAGTCTAAGTTTTCAAACGCCGAGTAAAATTATTACCTCTGAGGCTCTGCGGTTAATTGATCGAACTAATTTGTTTTGCCCGATAATAATTATTACTTTTTCTACAGAATCGCCGATCAGCGTAAAATTGCTTCAGTATTATTCAACCCGCTCTTCTAATGGAAGAAATTTTTCTGTGCCGACCGGCATTGCACGTTACACAGGTGGGGAAAAATATCAGACAAGTTAAAAAGTACAAACTGTGCACAATTTATTGCTGTAACGGGTTTAATTTTTGAATATAACTTATAGACAGCAAATTTTGTGATGCCCATGTGCAGTAGTACCTACTTATGGTTAGCTGTTACGGCGTATGTATTCATTGTCAGTACACGGTACGTACGACGCGCCATGCTCCCGCTTATTTATTTGTTCGACGCCGTATATTTATTTATATATTGTTTTCTGTAAATCTTAAAGTCTAGCGCGCAATTTTCTTTTCTTGTTAGGCTCATAAGTGTTATTAATTATTACCATTGAGATTATTTTAATTTCGCAGTAGTACTAATATACAGATTTGTTTTATTCTTAATTTTGACAATTTAACGTATTTCGTAGAAGTACATATTTTAAAATTGCAACAAACATCGCATTTTGCTTACAATGCGAATTTTTTCGTTGGCCGGTGCGTGTAGTGCGCGACCGGTCTGATTCACATGAGCGGTAGCGATAATCGCGCCATATGCGCAGAGTCGCAAATACTGGGCTATACACCGACACCGCGCGTACGTACGTGGGAGTTTCCTTTTTTGGAGTTTCCGCTTCTCCGCGCGCGCTAGCTGCATAACGCGCGTGGATCGATAAAAAGTGGTTGGGTGGCATTTTTATGCAGCGTGTGTGAGCGACTTGCGTTTCTCACACACTCACATATTCGCATGGACGTAAACGCGCGGTGTACATTGCGGCAGACAGTGAAAGAACACAGCAACAATTTATTGCCACTCGCCAGTTACGTAACCAGCGTCAGTCAAGCGCGTCTGTTCCGACAAACGACCAGTGAATAGTCACGGCGATTCGCACACGGCGGTATTGTGGGAGAAAGTGATCCAATTACGCGTCAACAAGACCAATTTTTTCTTTCGTTAAGCACCGGATAAAAAACCTAAAAAACTGCGTTAGCAGAAAAATTTACATATTTTAAAAATGACAATTTTTTACTTTAAAAAAAAAGTTTTCTACAAAAAAATGTTTCTAAAAATTTTTATTTAAAAATTTACACCAGAATTATACAACAACAATATTTAGCAAAAGTTGTTATAAAATGTTGACCTTTCTACGCAAGAATTATATACCATCTGCGTTGCTGAAATTAAACGTAATTTGAATTTGAAAATAATTTCCCTTGATCTTCCGGTTCTGTTTTGCAGGATTTTTTTTACAAAATGTGAGTTGTATATTCCTCCGGAAATCTTGCGTTTAAGCTTGCAAAATTGCTTGGAGAAACCCGGATTAGGAAAATATTGAGCGCATAGCTTGTCTGGGTGAATCGATTTGTTGTTGATCGGAAATCGATGTAAAATCATGCAAAACACCCGAACCGACCCCAATAAAACATAAACCATAAAAACCAACACACTGCGCAGCTGGTGCAGATACGATGTTTATTTTCATTCCATTTTCAGCATCGCACAGCTGCTGTCGTTGTACAACATTCTGCAGGTACGTATCTGTAGTATTTGTACGACCGGCGTTTACAACCGGTTTTAGCCATTAAAAATGCAGTACTGCATCTGTATCCGACTGGCGGTGTACGCCGCGCAGCAGCGTCATGTTTTCTCACCAGTCTCCCTCGTCTCAGCAAACATCACGGCAGCGCAGATATCCAGTTAGTTGGTTTATGTCGGTTTTTGTTCAGACGACGACGAGGGGAAATTTTTTGATCGCCGACCAACGGAGGATTACTGACGGATTACACTGACCATCAAATCCCATTACTTTATCGCCATTCTGGTCAATCTCCGCCGCCTAATTCACTGTATAAACAGCCGGTACGGTGAGTCGCCGTTGATGCGGCATGAATGGCGTTTGTTATTGTAAAGGATTTTCATTAAAAACATGCAATAATTTGGAAGCATTTCTTTGCAAACATTTTTCCTTGTAAAAACTACTATTTGATTCGTGTTTAATAATTCTATGAACTTCTTCTCTTAGCTGAAATAATTTACATGGCATTTATTACAGTAAACGTTAAGGTGATTTATTGTGCAAATATTTTCGAGTATAAAGTAAATTCCCGTCTCTAATTTATTAGCTGCCTCATTCTTTAATCGGCACTTTCCCAATAATTAAAACAATCATTACATTAATTATAATAAAGATTGTTTCAAATTCAGCCAGATGCTACCATCGAATAGTTTTTGCTGATTATATTTTCTGTTTGTCAATGTATTCATACTGGAAAACCGTCCGTATTATTGTCTTGTAAACACCGATTTATTTGCAATTTTAAAGAGAATTTTTGGAAATTTATGCAGTGAACAAGCACAAACGAACGATGGCAAAATTAATCAGTTGCAGTATGTTTATTAATCGAAATTCCGGAATCATACTGCATGTTACCTTTTGTACGATCAATATAATATAGTTGTTGAAAGACAATCAATAATCAGTAGGTAAACTGTAATTAAATCAGACTGTTTATTAATCCGATCTAGTAAAAATCCAATTATATTACAAGGGAAATAATAATTGTAAAATTTTTCTTTCTTCCCAGCATTTTCTCGAAAATTTATAACCGTAATTGGCATATAAACGACAACATTGAATTCATCCGACAGAAAAGGGCGGAAACGTTTTTGACCGTTTAAAAAAAGTGCTGAAAAGCACTTTTGACTAAAATAGCGGTTATTCACACTGGGCAGCAGTCAGCGAGCGCTGCGATGAATTATTTCTGCCATTACACCGGCAAAAGCAAGAAATCCATGAGTCGGCAGCGTTAAAAGCGCCGACCGGCTGCGTTTGGCTTTAAATCTGTCATTTAGCGCATCAGCGCATGACTCTTTAATTTGTCTCATCAAGGTTTGTACATTTTGCAGCTGACACACACACTGAGTGACCATCTTCATCGTCAGCAACTGATCGGAAGTGAAGCATTTTGGAGGAGAAAGTCTGATTTTGATTTACCAGCCGGCAAACTGGTTTTCCCACATTTCCATCCGCCATTAACAGCATCGTTTTGCACCCTTCAATCAGCAGCAGCCGCCGCGGTGGACTGCCGGCTTTTTTAAGGAAACTGCTCGACCAGAAATAACGGACCAATGGCCTATCTCAGCTTTTTGATGTCCCGCACGGGAATTCTCAAGTTACTGGAGACGGTAATTATTTGAGGGATTTGTTTGAAAATTATAAGATAATCTAGTTTTACAAATTTCTAGTAATACGTACTTTGTGGCAGTTTGTGGGAATTTATCCAAATTTTACATTGCGAAAAATGCGCAAGTGACCATTTGATTAACAATAATGTATATCGACACCAGCAAAATTTTTCTAAATAATTCCCAAAAGCTGATTATTTTTATTAAAATATCAGCGCGTTTGGATGCTTTTAATATGCTCAGTATAACGTCCAAATTTGTTTTCTGTTATTTTTACTTGCTTGACTTTTTTCTTAATCGTAAACTAGAGAGGTTTGTTTTAATACAACGTTCTGCAGTTTATTTTTTGAACTTTTTTAAATAATATTCTTATTCGCGACTTAATTCTTTTTAATCTGTTTCTAATCGTTTTCTTATTTTTTTAACGCTTTAATTTTGGCAGCTGGTAATACCACTTCCGGTTTATGTATTTCGGCAAAATTTTCCCAAGCATGCTTTGCACAGTGGGAATTTTGTGCATTCACGAGTTTGTGCATTTACGTGTACACAAAATCTCTCATGCATGTGTAGAAATTTATTTTGGCTCCTCCAAAACATAACATTAGCGTAATAGTAAATCAAGAAATTAATATCGAATGCAGTTGTATTGTGCTGCAGATTATCGGGATCGTGGTTATCGCCATCGTCTCGCAGTATGGCATCCACGTCTTCCACTATCCCGACATGATCCCCGCCAGTTCCTTCCTGTTGGGCGTGGCCGCCGGTGGTTTGATTGTCTCCTTTATCGAACTGGTCACTTTCTTCTACGACGATGATACACGCTATGCAGTGCGCAAAAGTCTTTTTGTAAGTACTTATTTTCTGGCAGAGTAATTATTATGCACTAGCGATCAACATGCCTTAGCGGGATTCCCTACCTTGCGTGTTTGTCTTGGTATAGGAAGTGATGTTCTGTTGCGTAATGTGCGCGCTATACTTAGCGGCGGCCTGCACCATGGTCTACTTTGTACACGTACGGGCCCGACTGCACTACGAGACCACCAATCACGAATTCGACATTTATCCGGGATGCATTGCGGCAACGGTACGTATTACGTAACTGTTCAACATCGTATAAATGTAACAAGAAATTATTTGGAAATAATGGTTCTGCAATGTATTAATTCTTTTGGTATACTTCGCTTTTACTCGCGTTCCGACCGCTTACAGATTACACTTCCACGTTCCGACCACCGGTCTGCATTAGTAAACCCCCCCAGCGCGCGGTTACATTTGAAAGGTAGCGACGGCAGGCTTTGCCAATGAAAAATTGAAAATACTGGAATCCACTTTTAATGCTCATCCCTCGTAAACTACGAAGCAAATACGCTAAAACAATACTGTAGTGCCAATTAAATTCCGCACCATTTCGTAAAGCGTGATGCTCTAAAGCTGTATGTGGGGTTCAGCGTTCGCTGAACGCGCTGAACAGCGTCAGACTGCCAGTAGCAAAGGGCCGAGCGTTGCTCACTCTTGAAAAATTGTTCCTGCTTCAAAACGGTTCTCTATCGAGATTTATAGACTTGAATCTAATCCAAAATATGCTTTTACAATTTATGTTTACAAAATATGCGAATGCGAACTGGTGTGAATATTATCTGACTCGAATAGCTTTGTCGTACCCGCACGTACTACTGAGTATGAATTATTTGAAACTGCTTGTTCAGCCAGTTCACGAGCCTGTAGACAGTGAACCCAGTGAACGCTAAAGCCATCCATACAGCGCTTGTCTAGCATGCTGTACGAAAAAGTGCGGAATTCACTTGGCACCACAGTAATTTAAGATACGGGAAAAAAATTATAAATTTTTCAAGCCTAGGTAAGTGACAATTCATAGAAATCAAAACAAGTTATAGACATCGGCGATCTTTCGTGCGCTTAAGCATACAATCAACGGCGAAGAGCTACGCAGAGATCCTATGGTCTGTCTACGAGAAAGGAAAATGACTATAACTTTTCTTAATCGCCATAAATTTCCACTTATTTGGAATCAAAAATATTTTAAATTTTTTCTCCATCTTTTAGTCCATTGATTGAGTGATATTATTCCGTAATGCATGGGGAATGAGCGTTTGAAGTGAGCGAATGATGCAGATTTAACAGTAAGCGAAAGCTGCGCTCAGCGCTACGTAGAAAAATGTAATCGCGCGCAGGGGGGTTTACTAATGCAGACCGGTGGACGGAACGTGAAGGTGTATTCTGTAAGCGGTCGGAACGCGAGTAAAACCGAAGTATGCATATGGAAACAATGAATTTTGCAATTTTTGTAGGTTTTCGCTTTCATAAACATGCTGCTGTATTTGATCGATACAATTTTGGCCTATTCGGACATGAAAGCCACAGTGGCCGGTGGACCGCGATATTTCGAGACGGTGGTCTACAAATAATTGTTATCCTGATAAAGCTGCCTCCTGCAGTTCCCGTTTCCTTTACGTGCTTTTATAACTGTTAATTGTCTTCCTCACTTTCCTGCTAAAAGTACTAATGAAACGCCACTACCATAACTTGAATAATGAGTGGCAGGCGCGTGATTTAAGATTGCCAAATGTCCTGTATGATTGTATCGTCTAACAATCACATGGAACATTTTCTAGATTGTTCCGGACTTTTGCAAGGCCACATGAGAATTTTGATATTCCCGTTTCAGTGTGCGCTAATTTACTTCTGGCATTACGGAACTATTACTGCGGTTTATCAGTAACATTTTTGAAAGCTCGTATTCGAAAACGAAACACACACGAACGACGTTGGGCGTTAATCCATAGTAAGTAAATGAACGACTGTCGTTCGGTTTGGCACCCGTGAAGTATATTTCCCACAAACCGATTTCCTTCCGGTTTTCTTCTTCGCCTGATTAAGTAAAACGCAACTTTACAGAGTACAGTAGTACTTAAAATTTTTAAAAAAAGCTCGAATCGCTATCATGCATACCGAGCCGAGCGACCATAGTACAAGTAGGAAAATACACTCGCTTATTGCGATCACTACAATAAAGAAAATACATGAACGATGAATAAAGCGCAGAAAAGAAAAACGGTACCAACATCAGCACTATACGTGTGTGCTGCGTCAAACCATTCGAGCTACCAGCTGTCAGAGCGGCATCCGCTCTCTATAGGATCGTTCGATAGAATATTTCGATAGATTTGTATGCTTTGCCGATAGCCTAGTGGTGCCTCTCTCGGCCTTAGAGTATGGAGGTTGTGGGTTCGATTCCCTCAATCGGCAGATTTTTTGCGAGTTTCTGTGCGAGCCTAGCCCAGCCCTTTCATGGTAGCAGAGCCGTTCGATCTACGGATCCTCCTATTAATTCTATTAAATTATTCGATTAATTAAGCGATTATAAACTACTATTATTAAGCCGATTTGCCGAACGTATGACTTAACCGTTGTACGTACAGCCGACTCGATATGAGTATGAGCCGACTCTATCAGTACGGGATTTGGGCTGTATCAGCTCGAGGGACCTCGCTTCGTAGCGGAGGGGGTGTCAGAGCGGCATCCGCTCTCTATAGGATCGTTCGATAGAATATTTCGATAGATTTGTATGCTTTGCCGATAGCCTAGTGGTGCCTCTCTCGGCCTTAGAGTATGGAGGTTGCTATAAAAAAAGTACTGTGACAGTAACATCCGGTTGGAAGCGGATAATCACTATATAATAATCGCGTAAGCCTTTACGAAATTCAAACTCTGTCGAGTTCGCCAGCCCGATTCACTGAACCAAAATCCCCTGTCTACATGTCATTCGATAGCCTTTAGTGTGTAGATTTGCCATCGCAAGTCAGTTTTTAGAGAAAAAAAAACGTTTGAAAGAAAACTTTGAAAAACTTTAATATATAAAGCCTATAGGAAATGTCATGTATTGTACGAACGGCATAATCTTTTATTATGTCCGCTCGGGACAGCAGCAAACAACCAACTAAACTCTAGACATGGCAACAATAACGGACAACAACAATACCGTTGCTACGGCACATTAGCCATAGGCTATTATCCATTTCACGAGATACTCGTACAACCTTTGTACGAGTACTCACATACACTACAGGAAAAGTCAAGGATCCACCATTGCAAAACCGACCATTCCACCACTGTCTCGACAGCCAAAACGCGTTCTTTGCGGGGATTGGGGGCAACTTTGATGTTCTTGATTCTTGAATCATGATCACGTGGTATTCCGTAATCTTGAACGAATTAATAAATATTTCATCAATAGTTGCCTGACTTGCCTCCAAAAAAAAGATTTGAGAAGGAAGACCTAACAAAGTCTTCGAGTATGGAATTTGCTTCTCAAGTAGCTGCTGTTTGCAGTGGTTTGACCAAATTGAAGTTGCAAATTTCCCCGGGCGGCTGCCATTGTTACTGATTTCAGGAATTGCCTTTGAAAGCAAAAATTTACTCACCACAACTAATGAGTACCTTTAATTGGTTTTCAGTGGAAAATAATGTCCGAGAAGTAGAGTTCGCAAATCGTCAAGATTTCAGCAGCGAAACGGAAATTTTTAGCCTTTTTGGAAAACTTGACGAAACTTAACTGTTTGTAAATTTCGAAAAATAATAACGAAACTTCGCGATTTTACCAAACCATTTAAGGAAACTTGGCGATAACGGAAAATATTTTGCTGACTAAAAAACGAACGGCGAGAAGGTCACATTTTTAGTTTAAATATAACGGCAAGCTAGCAGCCGCACATCCACATGAGCTTGGTTTGATAACTCTACAGTTAATGTGTATTAACTGCAACGAGAGCTATAGCTAAAAATTAATTTCTTTTATTTTAACGATAACTTAGCGGTCGGTAGGCGCGAACTGCAGTAAGCCAAGGTGGAATCTCCGTTAATGTTATTGAGACCCAGAAATTTTTGCGAAACCTGAAGCAAATTCTTCACTTTGTCAAAGAAGGCGGAGCCGCAGGCGACGCCGAGCTGCGGCGCGAGCGGAGCTTGCGGAGCAGCAAGCGAGGCAACTTTCTTTACACTTCAAGGTTAGCAACTTAGCGGTACATTGAAATTAGAAACATCGCGGCTTAGCGCGCGATGGTAGAAATGAGAAGATAGCATGAATTGTATTTGAATTAGTTATGGAGCTTCTGTTTTGAAACTAAGTGAAAAATTCGGCTTTTTACTGTAATGGTGAGGAGGATTAGTGCAGAAGCTGAAGTGAATGAAAGCCGGCCCTTTTTCGGGAAAATTGAGCACATGGCGGTCATTTTTGCAAGGAAATATTTATCGCTCATTTATTCCGCGAAATTTGCTCTGACCAGTCAGCTAGAATATACCTATGTACAGCTATGTACAACGGACGTTTTCGTTCCGTAATACTGATTTAGCTGGTGAAATTGGTATTTACTATCAATACTTTGCGCAAAACAGCTAAAACTTTCAAATGATTTCAGTTTTTACCTGACCGGAAAAAAGTAAAGGGAAATTAACGGCACTACTTTTGTCGATCACTGTCTCTTAACAAATCCACCCAAATTGAGAATACGAAGCTTTAACTGAATCGAAGATATGAATTGACTGCTCACCGCATCATACCCTCGTGAAAATTAAAGTTACAAAAAAGATCTAGTTAAGAATTCGTGTACTATAGATTATACTACTAAACGTTGTAAAATATTTTGTGAGCAGCCGATTCTATGTCGAAGTTTTATGTAACTTCTCATCTTTGTTTACTTACACAGTTACACTTAATGCTACACAAAACTTCCACGACAGTTCAACATTTTCATTATCACAAATCGAGAACAGACACGGCAAAATACTATTCGTAAAAAAATAAAAAAAACAATCAGAACGTCGCAATTATTTGCTAAAGTCTGTCGTAAATCCTGACTTATTTAAGTAAGCCAGGAGAAAAACAGCGAAGTTATTGATGCGAAACAAAAAATCATAGGGTCAAGATGATGACTGTAGGAAATGAGAATCGTCGAAGAGGGTGAGAACTAATCCAGGCAAAGGAAGGGCGCTCGGCTAATTCGAACCAGAAACACCACAGTCGCAGCGGTCAAGACCGACAGGATGCGTGTCTAAGCCAAAGGAGCATACATCTGGAAACAAAGAACGTAATATTCTCAACCGAATTAAAATTATCAAGTGAAGTTGGACAAGAAAAATAGATGATTTTGCTTACTTTTCTACGTGTTGCACAAAATGACGAGCTGAGTACTTCCATCCTTCACAGTCTCGTATGTCACCAGCTCGATCAGGTCGTCCGTCAAAGGGATGTTCAGTGGCGGGATGTCGAAAACTGTATGCGGTGGAATCACTCGCTCCCTCGTGGCCAGCGGTCCGGAAGCCAGAGGACATTCCCGAGCGTTGCATTCAATTGCACGTGCAACGTCACCTTTATAAAAAGGTCCAGACAAAGGAGCGAAGCAGCCTCGGCATTTCAGATAAAACTGTTTCTGCAGAACAAATACTGTCATCAGCAACAGATTTATTATCCAGAATAACTGGAGTCGACTCCTTAATTCTTACCGCATGAATCTTCCTCATATGCGTGCTAATATGCAGCCAGTTGATTTTCTCACCGCAGAGGGTACACAAGACGTAATAGAACTCCCCCTTTGACCTGCATTAAAGCATTCATTACAAACTGTATACCCATTGAAAAAAATGTGAACAATAATAACTACCATTTATGAGCGTGGTTTAAATAAGAACGGACTTCCGATCTAATCAGACACATCACGCAATGGCAGGTTGCAGTTTCTGTCCAATGCTTGTGCGGCAAGGACAGATCAAGCCGACGGGTGGCGAGGCGGCAAAGTCCCACAGAGTCCAGCATACTTTTCGCCGTCTGTTAAATGCGTAAATAAAATGACTGACAGTCGTACAAATTAAGACTTAACCGAACAATTCCTGTACCTCCGGCGAGTTTGAAAGAAACGGTTTAATCCAGTCGTAGACATAGCACGACACCGACGCCTGGTCTTTAACAGATGGAGGCTTCTGAAGACTGCGGGGTAGGAAGGCAGAAGAGGCAAGTCTAGGTCGACCTTTGTGTTTTGCCAAGAACTCCGCCCACTCCCGGACCGCCTTTTCCATATCCATTGAGAAGCGAATGTATTTATGGAGCTCATTGCCCATCAGCTCACAGTCAACGTCGGAGTTTCTGTAAAACCGGCAGATGCTTGATTATTGATTTAGCGAAAAATTGAATAAATATTAAGATCTTTATGTTAGATACAAATACTGAAAATATTTATGCTCTGGGGAATTCTGCAGTACCCGAAAATTGGAACGTTCTGCGTGATCCTGGCGAATATATTGAGCCGCGTGAGGTCATTACCGCTCAGATAAAACTTCCCCTTGTTTTCATATCCGTCAAAACTTTCTGGAAAAGCGCAGCGGAAAGTATTCAGCGGGAGTACAATCGAACTCATTCCCGGAAGAGGAATCTCCGGTGCTATGGTCACCAACGATACGACGGTGTCTAAATTCTGCACCAGATCCGACATCGCAGTGAATCTCAGAGCTGCAGAAAGCCTCCACCCTTCGCTGCAAACAAGAAAAAAATACAATTAGAAAATGGGTCGACCCAGCATAGACTGCTAAAATACACAAGTATGTATTACACGTTGCAATTCGGACAACGACAGACGATGTCGTGATTCTCGTCAGCATTTGCACCCGGCTGTTTTGCAATCCATTCGTCTGCGCATTTATGACACACTATTCCACTACAGCAGGGCGAAATCACAAGGCTATGGAACGGACAATCAACGCCAATCATACACTGAACGGAATTCTTCACATCCTGCAAACAAAACAGAAAATCATAAAAACAACTTGTAAATGTCCATGGGATAAGTTGAGAATTAATTTTGAAAAATCTTAAGACCTAAATTTTGCATTTAATCCGCTATTTAAAGATGGCTGAACTTACGTATACTGCCTCTAATAATCTTCTTCGGTGATTTTCCATTTTAGGAGTCGACTCCACTAGCAGCGGTATCCTGTAGCGAGAAATCCGATTTTCGGTAAATATAGTACCGTAGTAATAATCCAGAATAGTCGCGGCTACAGCTTGCTTAAGGAGAAGCCGTTACTACAAAAATCGATACGAGTACCGAAGCCGTCAAGGAAAAATAATCTATAACCTTTTCGCAGTGTAATCCCTTAGGCCACAATGAAGTGCGCCATGCGAGTCTGCTGCCAACCCTGTACAGTACTTACCCATAGATAATGCCGATCAAGAAAATGTGCCAAACGCCAGTCCAGAACACAGTTATGATTACGGAAAGTATCAAGCCACCGCATCAAACAACGACCTACTGTGATACATTCATATGATGAGAGAGATCTCCCGGCTTCGATCCCGGCCCGGTTGTATTACCGTCCTGTGGCAGCTGCGGCTTGTGCAGGCACGGACAGCTGATCGGGGCGCAACAATATCCAAAGAATCTGCAATCAGGAAACAAACTGCAACAACGTTTCAGAATTCCTGAATGCTTCCGATCATGTTACATTTCACATAAAGCTCAAGCTAAATAATCTCGAATCGCACGCCTACAAATGCTATTTTCGGTACTGAATTTTCTTTTTTCAGTACGGAATTTTCAGTACTGAAACCAGGCGTACAGACACATAGGAACCCTGATTCTTGAGATCATAAAGATGCTACTCTACAGAAATTCTCTATCTGGCGCAGCCGGCGATCTATTTCGACTACAGTGGCTACACACCGCCACTGTAGCTTAACGGTTACTTGCAAGTTTACGATATCTCGCAGCCCCTTTTCTGTCTGTGGCCCTCCAAACTTGGAGTAGCACTTAAAATCCTAGCCTATTGCAAAACTGAATGGTTTTTCAATTTTACATTCTACCGATAAAGACGCACGTAACAACTATTTATTAAATTTAACCCCAGCAGGCAAAGCACTTACACTACGGTAGGCAATCAGTGACGCGTCGCGCAACCAAGAAACACTTGGATCGTCCACTTGCGTTGTCCACGTGGGTCGTTGGGCGCTATGATCCGTCTTGTTTCGGCTGTAGAAACCCAATCGCGAAGGCAAGCGCCATTCTGCATTCAGATCATCCGACTCTTCACCGCAATCCACCACACCGCCGCACTCAACAGAACAAGGAGAACATGAACAAGAGGATACCGCAGTTGCTAATCCAGAAAAATGGGAATATTCGTTACAAGAGGAATGATCAACAATAGTAATTCTTTAGATCAGTCAACGCTTCACATCACATAATCATAATCGAAGAAACTTTTGAACCGTTGTTCGGGATGCTAAATTAAAAGTTATGAGTGGCATTTACTTGTCGAAAGGTAAAACTATAAACACTGATATTTTGCGCAACTACTGGTTCTTCTAATTCTCTAATTACCACGTTCTCACAGTTCACTGGAAAAACCTGTTGTCGGAACCCAGCGTGTGTGCATGCGGCGCGATTCTTTGACATACCGAAAGCGTCTGACGCGCCACCTACCTCTTCTTGACTTGCAACACTACTCAGTAACGCAGAAGTACTTATAATTGGAACATCTTACTCGGACATTACTTACTATGTTCTTAGTGAATTACTTAGTTTAGTTTAGTTGCGTTTAGTTGTTAAACTTGTTTCGTTTATATGTTTAATTTCTCCTTTCTTAACATCGTTCTCTACTTTTATATTTTTGTTAACTTATGCTCTTCCATCACATTTTCAATAAAAATTGACAGTGACTACATGAGACCCACGTCAACCTATGGACATCTTTTAGAGCATTTCTGACATCGGGATAATTTTCAGCGCATCTTTCTAATATAGAAACCATTTCTCAATATTTTTTTAGAAAAAAAAAATTTCTTACTGCCGGGTCCCATTACGCACCTCGATAACCTTGGGCGGTTCCGATGACGCCACGAACGGAATCTTTTATTTATGCGTTTTATCTACTTTTTCTAGGTAAACCGATATCGCTGATTCTGAATATGCTGTCAAAAAAACAGTTTAAGCCTAGGAAAAAAAATTTTTTGTTGTTGAAAACAAATTTTTACATATTCTATCAAAATTTTTCCGTCATATAACAAGCACAATTTGCCTGACAGCATTCAGAATCAGCGGTATCCAAGAAATCCAAGAAATTTAGAGATTTAAAGAACCTAAATAGTCTACGAAAACTAAGAGACCAAGTACTCTTAGTAATTTAAAATACGTAAGTAATTTTAAATTCATGTACTTCTTAATTTAAAATATCTAAGTAATATAACTGATTTGAGTAATTGAGAATCTATTAATTTAATAAATCAAGAAATCCAAGGATAACATACAAATTTTTTAAATCACAATCTTTAAAACCATATGTCGGCAATCGCCTAGTACGGGTTAGTATAGCGAGGCCACGCCCAACACTAAGCGTTAGTTTGAAAAGCCTTTTGCTGCCTAAAATTTGCCGGTCTTTGTCTTGTCTGCAACAATGTTAAGCATATCTGCAGTGTTTGCAAGTTTGTCCCTTAACATTTTTTGATTTTATTAATTTATCCTGGTGCTGTTATTGTTGGGTCGACCCGTGTCAAGTGAGAAACGCCTGCGTTATGTTTTGTATGCTGTTGCCAAAAATCAAGGATTTTTGTTACAAAGTAAAGAGTGTTTGTTTTTAGCATGTCCAGCGATGACGAGTCGTTATTCGAAGGATGCTTTATCATTGATCCCCGACCGTGCAAGTCTCGAGAAGCAGTCCTCCAAGCCCTGAAAACAGCTACCACAAGGGTTGTGAAAAAACCAAATAAAGAGATGAAAAAGGTCGACCTACCGTCTGAAGAAGAGCCGCGAGCTCCCGCAACAAGTGATACACCAGAAGATACCTGGGAATCGTTCCCTATTCGAGTAAGTACATTCCCGTAAGATGCCGTGGCGATATACGTGTTCTGCTCATATGAACAAGTTCTATGTTCGCATAAAGTTGCCCATACATAAGAAACTAATTTTAACTTATTTTATGGTTTAATGCAGTTAAGTAAATTTCAGGTACAAAAACGTGATGCTCCTATCTTTCAAGAGCCGACCGGACCGAAAAAGAGCAATGAAGAATTCGATGATTTTGACTATGAAAGTTTAGCTTTTGAAGACGAAATTGTGCTACCGAAAAGAAAAAAACAAAAGTAATGATCATAATTACTTTTTAATTCCATCGTGTTGAAAACGCTGCTTGGGTCGACCCGTTTTATTTATTCGTAAAGATCTGAATTTATTTACATGATAAATCGCTCATTCGGTATACAGACAAAGAATTCAGGATAATTATTATTATGCTTTCCATATATACACACAACAGGTCTAAACAGGCTATCGATAGCCACTACATCGCACTTCTGACAATCAAATCGCAAGCATTTTCTTATAAAAGACGGATTTGTACCATCTGGCAGTTTAATGGCACTAAACGGCTCAGTTTTTATGTGCTCAACAGCAGCATAAATAGTTCGTACAGCTGATTCAAAAATTACGAATTTTAACAGCTTCAGTATTCTGCCATCCTCCGTTTGGAACCAGTAGTTGCACCGCACCTCTTTTCTGCTAGTACCGTAACACTCCAGTTCAACGCCATCGCTCCGGATTACTCGGTTCCGGAAGCTATGTGGACAACCTTCTAGCGCTTCTTGCAAAAGGCCTATCTTTTCCAAAATTTGCAATTCCAAATCCGCATCGTAAATGGGTCGACCCGTTAACTTATACGAAAAATAGGGAGTCTTTATGTCATCACTAGCGCCAGCCACTGACTGGTGACAGCGCGAAGCCTCTAAATGCTGATAATTCCGTACAATTTGTGACGCCACGTCCGTACTGCCATGAACCGATTTCATTAATCCACCCAAAAAGTCTTCAAAGTAAAAGGTCGACCATTGATATGCAGGCCCCCAGTTTTCAAGGGCTGTAGAAAGATGAATAAGTTGGTGAACGTTAAACAACATCCGCCGCTCTCCGTACAATTGTTGGAATTGCTGGCAATAACGAGAAATTAGGCCATGAGCGGTAGCAGCGTGGTCACTTAGTGACCCTCCATAATCCAACATGAGATAATGCATAGCCATCACTAAATCTAGCAGATTTTCGTAAAGTACGTGAGGCAACTGTCCATCCAAAACATAAAACGCTCCATACATGAGAAAATTAAGATATTCAGAGGCGTGATACGACGAACATTCCGATATGGGTGGAATTGTGCGGCTAAATTGTGATGGAAAGATGATCCGAGAAATTCTTAGGTCGACCTCGTTCTGAAGATTAGCGGGTAGAATTTTCCTCCTTTTGTTATTAATATTGGTGTAAATAGGAAGACAGCACATGGGATCCTGCATCCAGTATTTGCATAGCTTTTTGGTTACTCCTAAACCAACAGCGTGGAGAATATCAGGAGGACAATGCACATCGGGACTGAAAGAGGGAATTCGAAACAATCTGCTTGCACGGATAATTCCATGGAATTGTTTATTGTGCTGCAAAGCAATCCGTGCACTGCGGATATACTCCTGACGATCTTTTTTTGCCGAAACACAATCGAAGGGGTACACGCGAACGCCATCAACTACTTTTCCGGTGTGCAGGCACGCAGTGCATCCATATTCTCCGGCAAAAGATCCGTGACACAAGATGTCATTTCTTGCAATGGTATCAGCCACCCATAATGCCGGCTTTATTGCACTGATTCCGTCCGCTTGGGTCGACCCATTTGCAGTATCTAAAAGTTCCGCTGCAAGGAGTTGTAAGATAATATCCATGTTCGGTTTCACCTTTCCCACCGCAAGGGCAAACAGAAACCGGTTCCGGTATCGCTTACGCGTAGGAAGTTCGTTGATTATGTAGCTAACAACTGTAATCGATCCGTTCAAACTTCCATTGAACCCAAATGTTTGTCCGTCGTCCACATGAAATGTCAGCGATATATCTCTTCCGCCTATATTCAGCCTTTGATATTCCTTCCCATAAAAAATGTCCAGATCTGTAACGCTGTTCCTGAATGTAAATACATCGCCTCTTTTGTCCGAGTTTATATATCGTTCGACAGTGCACCTAATCGGAAACGTGTGAAAAATGCTCCCTCGCGTTCGGCTGTCTTTAATGGTTTTATGGGTCGACCCGCATTCTGCACTGGAACAGCTTATTGGATCCCGAAGATTGCTTTCTTCTTCAATGTAGTTTTGATGCTCAAAGCAAAAATGATGGATATTCGGATTCAGTAGATAAGGCGTTAGAAACGAATCAAGATAATACAGATTTCCAGGGAACTCTGAAGTGTCCTTGGGTAGTTTCTGGAAAAAGTGCAACATTGCCCCCTGTTGAACGCGTGACATTTTGTGCTTCCTGCAGATCCGCACGAACTGCATGACATTCCCTAGGGTGTCGACACCGGGATCACCTCCAGCTTCTTCATGCGTATCTGAATCCGAGCTGACATCTCCGTTAGTTGTATAAACCACGTCCGAAGCAGTCGCTTTGTCATCCCGGGTGCCGTCGGGAGGCATGCGCTTGAAATAAACATTTAACAAAATTAATAACTTTAGTTAATAATAATTGCGGATTATATGAACAAAACATTTGACTTTCCATTTAACATTTTAAAACTAGAACAACTTATATCACTGATAAGATCTGAGTGTTTAAAACTGTAACACTCGTAGCAAATTAATTTCATGAAATTAATAAATGAAATACCAGGGAGTCGACTCCGTCTGTCTGCGATTCACTGTCACTTGACTCAACAATTCGAGAGTTGTCCAGTTGTCTGCGGTTTCTCCAGTGAGATGTTTTCGGCAAAAGTCCGTCTTCATACAAGTACGATCGATACCGTTTTTGGCGCTTGCGTTGTTTTTCTGCCATTATCGAAATTATTTTAATGAAAGTTGTAACGAAAAAATTACTTTAGAATAGTTCACGGTAAATGTAGCTGCAGAAAATCAAAGACGCCGTCACTATTGTTGTTTCGCTTTATCAAGCCGCGCGCATAAAGAGCCGGTAACCCTAGCTTCCGCTATTAATTTTTGGTTGAACTGAACTGTACCTGCTTGTGCACGATAACAGCTGTAATAGATGGGCGTCGCGCGGCGATGGTAAGCAAATCGGCATGTATGTACCGAAAGCATAAGGGGTCGACCCCTATAAACGTAGATGATAGCGATACGCCCGATTCGTGCCGTCCGCATATTTTCTTTTTCACTCGGCGACACGTTCACGTAACCTTTATTTGTGCGCTGTGAAGAAGTTGCAGATCTGTGCTCTTCAAATTCTTCGTTT